AGGAAAACCTCCAACACAAATGTCAATCGACACCCTGAATGAATTCACAATCTCATGGATACGAGGCTGCTTGGGCCATGGAATTGAACATAAGATACATCTGTCAACAGCCGACGAATCTCTTGGCATTTCACCAAGAGCCAAATGCACACTGCCATCAGCCAAACACCGGCCTGTGGACAGAAAAAGCATCTGTCTTTCACATCACACATGCAGACTATTTTACTTTGAAGATCACTGGAATGAAGAAGCCTTCAGGTTAACGGCAAAATGTGGCTCAGCCAACGCAAGAAACAGCCTCTTTGCCTCAGTGAGCTGTTCCCCGCGCTCATATCTTTCTTGCCCTTCTTCATCTGGTGATATATCTGGTGTGAAGCCTCGATTCCAGTGAACTCATCACACTGTATATGGTAATGATCACCAGGAAACCAACACTGCCCAGGAAATTAATACTGTTAGCTACATATTGGGCGGGAGAGGTTTCAGGTCAAAACTTCATACTGAACCGCTAATGTATGGAGCCCCCCCCTGCCAGGAGCACAAGGGCTGTGGCTATTACCAGTCACCATCTGGACCTTACAGAAAAACTCATAGTAGCAAAAAGCAGCCTAGGCCAGAACTTTGGCCAGGAGGCAGTAAGGCTTCAGCTGAAAGTCAAGGCATGACGTGGAGCTGACAGACAGCTTCATCATTTCGAGATGAGTCGCCATGTACGAACAAGGAGAAGGTTCTGCAGGGTAAGCAGAATGATGACGAGCTGTCACATCAGCACCTGAGAGCAGGTGTCTGACGCTGATCCCTATCCGACATCATGATATTCTTTTTGCCTTCATAATGATTCCATCATAAAAAAAACACCTTTCCAGTGAGAACTATTCATGGAACCATAATGGTCTCCATCATAGCAGCTTAGCGTGTACATAGGGGGCCTACCCAGAACAGAGATGGGCACAGCTACAAGCCAGCCACCGAGTTCGCAACATCAGGATTATCAACCGCCAGTAAGCTCCAAGGCAACAAACTTTCTAGGACAAGGCACACCAGGCAAATCAAAATGGCGCATTGACTTTTGTGTAAGCCAAACATGGTCATGAAGGGAGTACAGGATTCCACTGGGCCAGGTGTGCCACAATCAAGGGTTAAGAACTCAGCAGAAACGGACCCAAGTAGTAAGCCAGCGTGGATACCAACATCCTTTCTAAAGCGAGCGTGGACACCAACGTCCTTTCTAAAGTGGGCGATCAGGTCATGGTACCTGCAAAGCATTTGGAATGCAAAGTTTGTGTATTCAACCTGAACCACCAGCCACCTGGCACATGGCTTGGCTGATAGGCCCTATAGACAATTCTGCAAAAGTTTCCCTCTACAATAAACCCCAACTCCACCCTAACCCCATATCCCCTATTGTAGCCCTATTATCAGCGGCTACCCCTCCACATCCATCCTGTTAGGGGCAGTATATCTTATTAGCTAACAGCAGGTTCGTGGGGAACACTGCCTAAGGAGCCCCATTTTACTTTATTTTGAGAGAGAAAGAGAGAGCTAGACGAGGGCATGGCAGAGTTACACATCGGTTTTCAACGTGCAACGGCACACCCCCCCCCTCTACATTACAAGCTTGAATGCGTGCATGCAAAAAGGTTGACAGAGAGTAAGAGACGACTTGACATCAGGTATAGGGAGCAGCTCCCTGACGGTTTGAGATCAGCAGCATTGTTCTGGGAGGCATTCAAGAGGAGGAGAAATTGAGTTGAGGAGGAGGGGCAGTTATTTGGCAGTGCCATTTTCTTCTTCTTTTTCTTCATTATCATCATCACCATTAAAATCATCATTGTCATCATCAGGATCATCATCATCACATACGCCAAAACCCCAGTTCACTGCAATACCGCAATATTTTTTTTTCTTTCTCCTTGGAACTGTCTTCTTCTTCTTCTTCTCTCCTCATTCATCATAATATATCATCACCATAATCATGCACATGATCATAATCACCCTCATCGTGACCATGATAATCATCACCGCCATCATGACCATACTCATAATTACCATCATCATGACTTCTTCTTCTTGTTGTTCTTCGTCTTCTTCTTCTTGAAGATCATCATCAGCAGCAGCGGCAGTAGGAAAAAGACCTAGGTGTGTGATTGATCCCACTGTTTCTGTTTTTCTACTTTTGCTACTTTCTTTTGTTCCAGGGAGAAAAAGATGCATTATTTCACCACCATAACTTTTTTTGCACTGAAGAATTGTTTTCTTCTTCTTTTTTTGCAAAATCATCGCTCAATCTATGTTCCCGAGGTTTCTACAAAAAATCGTCAAAGGAGGCGCACTCAAGCTTTTGCAACAAGCTGCCGACCGCCTGTGGCCAAGCCTATTGGCCGCTGTCAGATCTTCAAGATCAGGTCGCCTAAAAATTCCGCCTTCCAAGACTTCGGGCTCCTTTTGGGGCCTCCAGTCACAAGGTAGGACCAGTTCTTTCAATTTCACAGGTACCAGTAGGGTAACCAAATAGCTGTAAATCCTCTGCAAAACTTCCACCCCCGCTATACCCCTTTTTGAGCGGTCGTCTGCCGCAAAAAAATGTGCCACCATGACACACATGGCAACCCATCATACCGCAGCCTTAGGGTTGTGTAGAGAGGAGGCTGCCTTTCCCTACCCCCCAAATTGTTTCTTTTTGTGGTCTCCCTGTGTTCTTTTCCCCTCTACCTGTTTTCTTCATTTCTCGTTCAAGGTAATGAACTAAAATAGGTAACCTCGAAAGATACGCATCTGTTAACCTCTTACACCCTGGCATATCGAGCGAGCACATCAGAAGTGCAGACCATCCCCAGGTGGTTGAGAGTGACACTACAGATCGCAAACCAGGAGAATGTGAATGCATGCAGTGGGAGTTCAACACCTAGTGAGAGTGCTGCAGTAGGTGGGGGTCCTACACCTTGTAGGAGTGCTGTAGTCAGTTGTACACGCCGCTGGAAGTCTTACGCCTGCTAGGGGTGTGGCTAGTAGTGGGTGGCCTGCTGTCGTTGGGAGCTTTGCAGAAGGAGAGGGTGTCGGTGGGATTGTGACCAATACAGGCGGTGAGACAGAACCAGGGGTGCAGGTTCCTGTGAGCGTTGTGGAGGGAGACACAAGCACTCACAAGATTTCAGACACTTCATCAATCATTCCACACTTGTTGAGGCAAGGTTTCAGTATCTCACTCTCGTTGCCATCATTGGTGACAGAGATGGATGAGGGGACTCCAAATTTGGCCAGATTAAGGCAACCAATCCTATCTTTCCTGCACTTCAGGAAAGACAAATGCTCCATGTTCTTAGCAGCGGGAGGGACCACTTCCAAAGAGAAGCCCAGTTGTGGCAGTCAGTGTAGCAGAGGGGGGAAGCAAGGTGGTGACAAGGGGCGACACGCACACAAGGAGAGTGCCACTGCCAGAGACAAATGACAGCATTGCGCAGAGGGTGAAGAGCTTGGCAAGCTCCAAGCAGGGGTCTATTGCAGCCAGCTGCATGGGGACATAGATCATAAGGAATTGTCATTTTTTGACATCAAAGACAGCCCAATAGAAAGCAGCTAAGGCAACCAAAGTAGATCAGATGAGAAGGAGAGAACAGCAGCAGACACCCAACCACCAAAGGTGCTCCCGAGGAAGAGAATGAGACTGATTGTATCAATGCATGATGACACGTGTCCCTCAATAAGCACAGAGTCTCCAGCTTGTCTGCTCCCAGCGATAGCAGCAATTGATATTAGGCAGATGGACGCTGAGACCGAGAAGAGAGAGAGGAGGAGATTGAGAAAGAGCACATGCTACAGACAAAACTAACAAGCCAACTCTTCTTCTTCTTCTCTTCCTTCTTCTTCCTCCTCCGACTCTTCTTCTTGTCCGTTTTCCTCCTCCTTCACCTCTTCTTCTTCTTGAGCAGGTGGCTAAGGACTATTGAAATTGCACGCTTTGGATTCATGTACCGATACGCCGTGTGCCAATCTTTTCAAGGGGAGTCCGTTGTCAAGCAAAGTTGTCCACTGTGAAGGCTTTCTCTTCTTGTTCTTTCTGTTAGTGTCCATAAACTTGTCTGCAAAGCTCGCTGCGTTGATCCTAGAAAGCAAACTGAACGCCCCAAAAGACCCATGAATCTAAGACCACCGACAACACCCCCCAAACTTTGGGGCGTCCACAAGACCACCCTGCTCCCAGCTTCCTTGGAAACTGGCTCCGAAAGCCCTTAGCCCCTGGCTGGCAACCGCCGACCAGTCCGCATTGACGGTCAACAGGCATGTTCAATATTTCTTTATTATATCAGAATCAGCAGTGCTACTCATCTGCCCCTGAGGCATTGCTTGCATGGCAGTGGTGGTGGAAATTGCTTCAAACCATCACATTGCCAATCCATGTTGCCCCCCAAGCTCCCGAGTGCCCTCTCACTTCCCTAATCCCTCCTGCTTTATGTGATGTCGAGTGTCATTTGACTCATGCCTCCTGCTCCCCTCATTCTCACAATTGAAGCCACTAAACATTACAGTAAGGGCATATGCCACGTACCCCATTATATCCTCCAATATATGTACATGTATGCTTGTAGAAGGTTATGTCATGTCTCCTAAGAGTGTGCAAAAAACAATAGCCCATAGTTGGAGGCCAATAGTTGGAGGAAGCAAATAGAATGCAGGACAGGAACAGCAGCCGCAAGAGCAGAAGTAGGACAGACGAAGGAGGCGGCGGCGAATTGGTGGAGGAGGAGGAGGAGAAGGAGAAGAAGAGGAAGAAGAAGAAAGAGAGGAAGAAGAAGAAGAAGAAGAAGAAGAAGAAGAAGAAGAAGAAGAAGAAGAAGAGGAGGAGGAGGAGGAGGAGGAGCTGGAGGAGGAGGAGGAGATACACAGGGAAGCAAAGGAGATGTAAAACACAGGGTACAAGGGAAAAACAACGGGCTGAGAAATAAATGTGTGGCAAAGCTGATAAGGATTGTCTGGATAGCGAAGAGGATGCAGAAACTAACCATCATCTGGATTAAGGTCGGAGCCCCTGCACCAGGACCTGTTTGGTATTCTTGCCGATCCTGCAAGTGCCATTGCTGTTGGTTCTCCATGCCGTCCATCAGCTGTAAGAACGATGGTGTAAATCTCACCATACCTTGACACCTGTGCACAGATTTCAGAGAAGCAAGATGCAGTTGGCGAAGGTAGAAAAGATCACTAGTGAGAAGCACAGGCGGAAGGATCAAAAGAGAAGTTCCGACAAATCATTCGAATGAGCTCAGCTCGGGGTGAAATGGTATAGGTCAGAGGCGAGGTCAGTCAAAGGAGGAGGAGAAGAAGAAACTGACCTTACTCTGGAAAAAAGTCTACAATCATATCCAGTTCCTCCCAGAGGTAAATTTTTTCACCACCTGTGCCCAAACCCATGCCATTTGTTTTTCCTATTTTCACACCCAGAACCAGCCCGGTCGGGCCGGCGATCCAGAAAATGCGCACCCTTATCAAGCCGGCTTCACACTGGCTCCATCCATGTGCCACCCAGACGCACCCGTCCTCCACACTGGGCCACCCGTTTTTGTGCCACACCTCGAGACAAATGTTGGGTCCAGATTGACACTTTTGAGCCCAATGAGGCGGTTCCCAGTCTGGGTTACACCCTTCGGAGTCACCCCTACCTAAGTTGTTTGTGTACGGTTGGGCAATAGGTTTGTTCTTTTAAGGGAGGGGAGTAGCTCTTTCCATTCACAACTTCCCACTTTCTTCTGTTGTCCGCAGGCTAATTGCTCCTTCCAGTATTCATGCAGTTCAAGGGGGTTCTCTGAGAATTATCTTCGCTCCCCGAGTCCCGTGAAGTCTGCCACACATTGTTGTCCTCCACCTTTCCCTCCAATCATGACAAGTCGCTTTTCCTTTTGTTAGAGGCACTCCTCTATGGGAGCCAGCCTATCCCTCAAATGCATAATCGGTCCCTTACAAAGAGTTCCCTTTTACATCACTGAGAAAGGTGCAACCTCCCCATGTGCATAAGAGCAATCCCTTCAAGCAAGGTAGGCTCCCACAGTTTAGTTGCATAATCGAGCCAGGTTTCACAGGCACGACCAGCCACTCGAGCAATCCAACAAGCACTCATAAGCAACAACACATTTGTCAATCTTCCACAGATATTTTGCCCCATCTTCCCTCTACTCGTGCATTATATTATTGAACCCCCCTCATCCTTTACTCCTTGGACGCGTGAACTCGGGAAGGTCCAGCCTTGAGAGTCGTAGATATCGGTCCAATGTTGGCAGAGCACCGTCGTACAGATGGTTGTCGGAACCCTTGGTTTGCTAACCAAGGATTTATTAAGCACAAGATGGAACATGGGACTTCGTGCACACAAGAAGAGAAGGCCATGCGGCAGGAGAATGAAGGCTCGGCCTCTATGCAATCAGAAGCCAACAACAAACCCAAGTTCTTCCATAATCATAAAGAAGGAAGATCCAAAACAAAGGGCGTGCCCCGGGTCACGGCGAAAATAAAATCAGTAAACGTCTGCAAGACCGTGCGCTACAACCTCAAGAGACGAAAAATGGACTTCACCACAGAAATAGAGCATTGGACAAGGACCGAAGCCCAAGGGCCAGAGCTCCCTCCTTGAAGACTGTAGAAGGCGCGATAGAATGATCTTCCTAGGAAGACCCCAAGCTTGAAAGCCAGAATCCCCTTGTGGTGGAGGCTTGCGCCAGATCGCTTTGAATGTGACCAAACACAACTCCTAGGCCCAGAGACTGAAAAATAGGCCTAGCCCCAAGACTAGGTAGAATGGGCCTGCAGGTAGTGTCCCAAGACAAAAGACTACCTCGGAATGTAATCCAAGGTAGATGCTATATGGAAAACGGAGAAATGGTCCTCAGGATGTAATCCAAGGTAGATGCTAGGATGGAAAAGGGAGAAATGGTCCCCCCAAGTCAAGAAATCGACTTGACCTAGAAAAACCGGCAAGTCCACTCCATAATATTGATTTGCAGTGGAAGGGAAAAAGGAAGGAGTAACAAGGTGGCCTAGGATAGAGAAAGGCTTGAACTGGGCCCCCTCTAAGATAAGACAGTCGCCACCCCATTGAATGGAGGGAAGACAGCCTTGCTAGTAAAACGGGCCAAAAAGTGAAGCCAAAAACATCATTTTGCATGTATCCAGCCGCAAATGGCTGGATACATACTCTGAGATAAGAAGAGTACCTCAGACTACCAATGTGGAATCCAGCCTTAAATATTGTTAAATTGTAGGGCTATATGCAGTACGAGGTAGATTTCTACCTCAAACCTCCCAAAAAACGGGATATCTAGCCAAAATGAAAAAGAACAAACGAAGGAAAGACCCTTTTTCTTTCCCCCTTTTCTGGCTTCACTCTAAGATACAATCTTGGCCCTGGATCATCCTCGATTAAGTTCCAGTGTTGTATCTCAAAAGAAAACACTTGTGCATGAGTGTACAATTGTGTGGAACTACTTTGCGCAACCCGAGGCAAGTATATACCTTGGATTGCACTCCCCTAGCCTAGAAACTGGAAAAGGGAGAGCTTAGGGCTAGAGGACAACTTTGGCCTTGACCTCCAGCTCCCTTGGAGGCTATAGAGCAGCTCGGACACCGGTTTGAGCTGCAGTTTCACAAAAAAAGAAAGGTTAAGGAGGGCAAAGCATTTGTCCTCACTTTCAATCAGTTTATGCTGCAACTTGTTGCCTAGAACTGAGGGAGAGCCACTTTTACGAGAGAGAGGCTAGCCTGTGACGTTCAACCTCACGCCCTGTGCTGTCTTTCGGTCGGAGTGATAAAAACGTGGAACAGGCCCTGAAAGAACAGCAAAATGGGGTGTGCCAAGGATTTTTGGAAAATTTGAGTGTGGGGACACAGATGGAACTGAAATCCCCCGTGTGGTTCCAGTTTAAGTGAGAAATGGCCATAGCCGCACGGGAAAGAAATAGCGTGGGCTGCTTTCAAATGTTTGTTCAATCCAAAAAGTAACTATAAACTTTCCATGCGGGCTACTCGACATCTTTTCGTACGGAAAGGCGGGGGTACACACGTGGGATCTCGTTTTCGAATTAAGTCCCGATGTCATGCGTTACAGAGCTCGGAATCCGACATGGACGGCCTCAGCCTGGTCGCTTTTTCCTCGTGTTCGTCCTGGCCACGTGCTCGGTAGTGGAACCCCTTTTCCCGATAACGTTCGGTGCGGCAGCAATCGCTACACAGAGTATTGGGCCAATGAGGTGCCACTGCCGTCCACGGGATGACAATCAATTTGTTAAAAGGCAATAATAATGAGTACGAGGAAAAATGAGAATCAATAATGACAAAACCAGTGCCTACGAATTCTGAGCACTTTGTTTCGGGAGGAAAATAGTAGCGCCTACCGATCTTGGCGACGGCTTCTCGTACGTCCCACTCACATACATGTGTCCTTACCTCATTATACGCGAACGGGCGTGGTGGGGATATGGGAAGTTGACACCCAGTCGGATCGGGGTAATCAGTCCAGATGGCATAAGCAAGGCTGATTGCATTGTCTACTCAATCCGTTATTCGATGAATAAACAGACGCAACATTATCTTCCATCCATCGTGCAAGCCAATCCGAGGCGTGCGTCTATGCAAGTTGATTCAATCAAGAAGGTGACCATCATTCATTCGCGCAAGAAGTAAAGCATGCATCGAAATAATCATATTAGAATCCTAATTCGTTTTTATCATCAGAGCGACAGCTCACTCGATACATAGTGTACGAGATCACTCCTACATAAACCATTAGATACTAAGGAGCAAAGGGAGGGATGAGGCAAGATCACCCGAGCTTGCTGGTCTCTCAAATTCAATGATACTTGACCTCGAAAGATCTGATTGAATGCAACGAGACAAGCGGGACAGGACCTCAGGAGCTGGTAGGGACGAGGGAGTCATTAAAACATTCAAACATTCATGATGAAAAGAGAGAGAAAGAGAGAGATAAGGTCGAAGGATGTGGACGAAGCCGTTTATGAGCACACAAATAGATATGAGAAACAAAACCGGTCATCCATCGTGGACTTAGCTTCCAAAATAAGAGGAGGAACTGAAGATCAAGGTGTGCAAACCTTCTGCTCTCTGACTATGGCCTCAGGCCATGCAACCACTCGGACACATACACCTTCCTTACCCAGGTACTGGCGATCCCGACCGCCACATACCAACCTCCACACCACAGCGATCGTCACCCCGCCAACTCAACTTCTACACCGACCTGCCCAGATCCCACAGTCCGTCACGGCCACCCAGCGCACAGCCTTGCAAAACTGCACTCAGCCCGTCAAGACTTTTCGACTCGTCATAGCCACGACTTCCTTGAAGCTGGCAGATGGGTTGAGAGAGAGTTTTTCGGATGCGCTTGTGGATTTTATAGTTGAGAAGAGCGAGATAGAAGATAGGAGGGAATGGGGCGAAGGTAGGAGGGGGTGAAGAAAGAGTTCGGGTTAGTCGCCTGGGGAAAGCCATATTGATCCTCGCTAGTTCCTTCGCAGCCAATCAAATCATAGCGTGATGGGAGTATCCTCCTTACACAATGTCGTCTGACGGCTCAAACACTCTGGGGGGGGGATCGGTGGGGAGTTCTTGTATGGGGATGAAAGCGGCAAGAAAGAGGGCGCGAAGAGTAGTGTGGAGCGGTACCAAGATTCAAACAAAAAGGAGAGGGAGAGAAGCGTGAAGGGAAAGGGGATGGAAAACAATTAGAAGTGGAGGAAAAAGGGCGCGAAAAAGAGAGAGGTGAAGATGGCATTGGCATGGCGGGAAGTGGGTGAAGCTTGCATGCATGGCGCCGGCGCAAAGACAAAAAGGCACCAAAGCAGTTATGTTATATCCATTCTAGCTCTAAAACTAATTCAAGATTGAGAAATTCAAAAATGATATCCGCACGCAAGATTGGACGCGGGAAAAATCCCACGCCTATTCAAATCCCTACTGAAAGTTCACAAAGGGCGAATTTAAGAACATTCACTTGCAAGAGAGGATACATCAACGGGAAGTGCGACCACAAATTCCCAAACTCCCAACTGTCGAACAAAATTCCTGGCGCGGTGACTAAGGCGTGTGTAAGTCCTTTGTAAATTCATGGATCGCCGGAAAGAAATTGCCAAAAAGTCTGAGAAAACCACAAGTCTAAAAAGTGGGAGGGCCTCGTCAGCCATTGATTCCATGCATCATCCACCAACCAAAATGAAGGGTACCCCTAAAGCCCGTTAGAGATCGAAAAAAGAAGCATGAATAACAAAACTCAACGCTTCAAAAGTCCGTTCAGGTACAGAAGCTGGTACATCACAAACCCAACCACGCTTGGGGGAGAGGAAGCGAGTTTCATGGCATTGGCAGTAGTTCTTTCAGCCTACAAGGCGGTGCTCCTCTACCTAGGACCAGGGAAAGGGAGGACCTGGCCTCTGAAGGGGTCCTGGACTGCTTGGAGGAGGTACTACTCTACTCCGGATTAGTACAGAGGGGGATGTCATAGCTACAGCTTCAGGGAGGGAGAGTTATGGATTTCGAATCTTGAGGGAGAGAGAAGACTACCTTTGGAGGCCAAAGATGGCTGATTGGGGCCTAGAAGGCAGACTGCCTACCTTGAAGCTGCCTAGGAGGGTCTCTACTGCCTTACATGTGCCTAGGACAGCCTAACTCTACTTCGGGGTTGCCTAGAAGGAACTACTCTACGCTGGATTGCCAAGGAGAGACTTCTTCCACTTTGGATCATCCTAGGAGGACCAAATCTGCTTGGGAGCTAAGAGAGAGAAGGGAGACTTCTTGAAAGTTCTTCTTCTTCTCCTTCCTCTATCTTCTTCTTCCTTTTCTTCTTCTTCTTCTTCTTCTTCTTCTTCTTCTTCTTCTTCTCCGTCATCGTCATCGTCGTCATCGTCGACGGCGGCGGCGGCATCTCTTCTTCTTTTCTTCTCGATTGTTGGTTGAGGTTCAATGGAGATCCATGGACCAAGGTGAAAAGTGAGGAGAGAGAGATCTAGTGGGCTGGTGCAAATCTTTTTAGCACATTCTCCTCCTCCCTAATATCTTCATCACCTTCTCACCCATCTTCTTCACTTTTATCTCCATACTAATCATCTTCTCCCTTCCCTTTACTTCAGCTGCATTTCTCTACCATCTGCATAGCTCCCCCATTCATCTTTCCCACTTTCCTCTCCACGTTAATCATCTCCTTCCTCCCCCCTCACTTCTGCTGCACTTCCCCACCATCTCCACAACTCACCCACTCATCTTCCTCACTTTTCTCACTTCCCTTCATCTCAGCTGCATTTCTCTACCATCTCCATAGCTCACCCATTCATCTTCCCCACTTTCCACGTTAATCATCTTCTTCCTCCCCCCTCAATTCTGCTGCACTTCCCCACCATCTCCGCAACTCACTCGCTCATCTTCCTCACTCTTCTCTCCACATTCATCTCTCTCCTCCCCTTCACTTCGCTGCATTTCTCCACCATCCCCATAGCTCAACCACTCATTTTCCTGACCTTCTCAAATATTCATCATCTTCTTCCTCCCCCTCTCCTTTGCACTTCTCCACCATCTCCATAACTCACCCACTCACCTTCCTAACTTTCTCTTCAGATTCTTCTTCCTCCCCCTCACTTCCGCTGGACTTCTCCACCATCTCCACAACTCGAACCCATAAATCTCCCTCACTTTCCTCTCCACATTCACCTTCTTCCTCCCCTTCATTTCCACTGCACTCCTCCACAATCTCTGTAGCACCACCACTCGTCGTCCTCACTTTTCTCGCCACATTCAACTTCTTTCTCCCCCCCAGTTGTGTCGCAGTCCACCATCTCCACAGCTCGCCTGCACACCCCCTTTACTATTCATTCCTCATTCATCTTCTTCTCCCTCCCCGTTGCTTCCACTGCAATTTTCCACAATCTTTCTCACTTTCTCTCTTCAATTCATCATCTTCTCCTCCCCTTCACTTCCGCTGCATTTCTCCACCTTTTCTCGCTCGTCTCCTCCACTCTTCTCTCCGATTCATCATCTGCTCCCTCCTCTTCGCTTTCACCTCGTTCCTCTTTCATCTCCATAGCTATTCACTTGTTTTCTTCACCCATCCTCCCCCTTCCATCTCCATTCTTAGTACTTCCACTTCCAATGCACTCTCCCTGCATTTCCATAGATATTTCACCCGTTTTCTTCACCCATCTTCCACCTTTCATCTCCATTCTTAGTACTTCTACCTCCGTTGTGTTCTCCCTTCATCTCCATCCCTATTTAACTTATTTTCTTCACCCATCTTCCCCCTTTCATCTCATTCTTAGTGCTTCCACTTCTGCTGCACTCTCCCTCCATCTCCTTAGCTTTCTAATTCATCTTCTTCACTCATCTTCTTCATTTCATTGCCTTTCTTAGCACACAGCAGCACCCTAGTGCTTCCACTTCTGCTGCACTCTCCCTCCATCTCCTTAGCTCACCTTTCTAATTCATATTCTTCACTCATCTTCTTCATTTCATTGCCTTTCTTAGCACACAGCAGCACTCACTTCCACTGCACTCTTCCACCATCTCTATTTTCAGCATCAACTTCATCTTCATCTTCATCAACAACTTCATATTTCTCCACCATCTCTATCTTCGCATCAACTTCCTCTTCTTCCTCCACCCCTATCATCATCACCAACATCATCTTCATCTTCCACCTCCATCTTTTCTTCATCTTCCGCCTCCATCTTCATCGCCATCATCACCAACTCCATCATCGTCATCGTCATCTTCACCACCTCTCCTCCTTAAAACTCCATAGCTACCTACGGAGGTGAACCCTTCACCGCTCCAGTGGTAGGAAGGCTGGCAAGGGCAAAACACAAAGAATTAGTCCCAAAAGGACATTCCGCTCTACCGACATCTTTCAGGGGCATTTTGGCATATATCTCAACTTATAGGGGTATTTTGCAAATTATCCCCCTTTTTTTTGGCGTTTGGGTTTTGGCCAAACGCGTCTCCAAGGGGGGCCGAACGTTCGGCCATTCGGATTCAGCAGTTTGCCCGGACCCGAACGCCTCTCCCCCCATGGGCTGGATGGCGCAGTGTAGGCATTGTAGGGTATGTCTCCCCAATGTGGTGATTTGCCACCAAAAAAACAAAAAAAGGCAATGTAGGTTATGCAGGCGATGCTATGCGAGCAGGGCTGTGGGATGCCTCCATTCTCTTCCCCTCGCCATGCTCCTATATTGCGGTCAGATACATCCATGAAGGTCCTGGTGTGAGCATGCCCTGCATCTGTCACAAATCCACTCACAATTCAAGCTCATGACCTGTTCACAAACCGTGCATGCCTACCGTTCATCAGCACAATTCATGTGTGAATTTGTGTTTCAACAACCCCGTCCCTTTTATTCAAACGCAACTTAGGACTGGGTGTGATGCACAGATACCCCGACGAGAAAATGACAACCGGAACAACTGATCCATTAGTAACTTGAACTTTTGCATGAAAACAAAACGGCCCCTGGCCAGCAACGCCGCAAATGACAAAACCAAGTTCTTCCATAATTCAGACTCTGGGCCTTGCTGCACGGCATATGAAAAAGCAAATGCAGTGAACCATTGAGAAAGTCGTGTTTGGGCCCATCACTCCGCAGCCCTCATGAGAAACAAAACAATCTTTCACTGGTGAGGGCACAAGGACAACAACACACACCTCAAAAAAAAAGGAGCAGTACGTTTTGTCAGAGCAGAGTTTCAAATGGGCAAAGAAAAGAGCCGCCTAGTTCGAAAGGCAATGAAAGTACCGTGGCCGTGGCGTCAGGCCAGGTGTCATAACTACAGGGGTTGGCCGTGGTGTCGGACGAAAAAAGGGGGGGGGGGGGGGAGGGAGGGGAGAAAAGGCCCAACGGATCTATTTCACCTGCGCATGCCCATTCCAGTTCCGCGGCTGTTTGTTTCGCCCGGGGATGTTTTTTTTCAACTTTTTTGCCCATTTGAGTTTTTTTTTGTTTGTTTCTTTAGCCCATTCGAGTTTGAAACTTGCTGCATCCGCACGCGTTTCAAAAAAAAAAAAGAACAAACAAACCTCATCTCTTGGCGGGAAGTCCCAATGTTCGTGTGGACACTGGGCTCCAGCATCCTTCCCAAGCCCACTCCCAAATTTCACAAAGGTGCAGGCAAGCGAAGCTCTGACAAGCACGAAATTTGAAAACGACTGTGCTCTCCATCGTGTTTGAGACTTGTGGCCACCATGCATTGATGGTGAAACAAGTGTTTCCTCCACGAAAGTTCATTTTCATGTGTTTGCAGCAAGGCCCTGTGTCTCGGAGAAAACAAGCTTACTTCTTGCGTATCTACACAGGAAGTCCTTTCAAGACAAAAAACAAAGAACCTTCGGGATTCGACCATGTCACCTGTTACTCCCCAAACAACCAGCAAAAGAAATGTGACCCAATCCGTGGCCTGTGGGAGAAGTTCCCCTTGGAGCATGCATTCTAAGACCCACTTCTTGCTTCAGGTATTATATATGGAAGAACACGTTGGAAAATAAGTCAAAAACTGAGTTCAAGACTGGTGAGAGGCACAAACGAGAGCTTGAAGAGTTGCTACATGTTCCTTAACTCGCAATCAGTAAGGATGAGAATTTAAGGCTTGGACCCCACTGCATGGCAGCTACCAACACCTGGAAAATGTCCGCACACCAAAATGTTAGTCCCCGGTGGTGGGAGAAAGAAAACGAGACCCCACTGCAGCAAAAAATTCTGCAGGTTTCTCGCTCCGGGTTACCCAATAGTGATGCAATGACCCGCCAAAAACACAGACTGAGAACACTGCTGATTTCTGGGATTTGCCGCTGGAATGAATGCCTTGCTGAGATTCCCGCATTCTGCTGTGGTTTCCAAGTCTGTGTGTGTGTG